ATTACTGTTATCCTTCTCATCTTTTCTACTATCTTCTTCATTGGTATCTTATCATTGTATACTTTGTTTTTTGTATGTACACTGAGAGCTTATGCACCTCTTATAAATTCCCTTTGTATCCAATCACACTTGGCCAATAAATTATTCTATTCTGTGGGAAACCCATTTAAATTATCTACAGAAGAAAAAAAATTGCATCTACATCTCATACTTTATTATTTTGGGACTTGTGTTTGCCCAGAACATGATTCTAAAAAAAACCATTTACAAAAGTGATATTCCCACATAGTAAGATGATATATAAGTTCATGTACAGTAGAAGGAGATTTATAAGAACTTCCTTTTGGTCTGAATCTGAATTTGAATCTGATGAAAATTGCAATGAGATGTATGCATGCCCTTTGGAAATTCATATGTCTCTTATGTCCGTTAAAATCTGGCTGTGTCGGCAGGCCTGGGGTCGATGAGTTCCCTTCCCCTCTCGAATCGTGTGGCTGTTGGTTGTTTTAAATTCCCTGTACTTTTTTGTTGTAATTCTTGTGTTTCCCTTCCCCTCCTTTGGGTTTGTACACCGCCCTGAGTCCCGCCGGGAATAGGGCGGCATATAAATAAAATGAACCTTGAACCTTATATTTACAGGTTTGCATCGGAGCCTGGGTTCTAGGATTTCTAAGGTGCAGAGTCTGAAGCTGGACACGAGTATTTGGAGCAATGAGATGGTCCAGGTATGAAGTTTTTCCAAAGGTCTAGCATTGGGAAGTGGTACAATCAATCTGATATTTTAGAATTGCCCAGGTGTGGATAAGTGGGATTGAAAAGATATACACTGGGATTTATCCAGGAAGAGTTCCCCCAATTATTCTGGGGTTGGTGGCCTGGTGCATGGGAGTGGTGGCAGTGGTTTTGTGTGAAGGGCAGATGCATGCATGCATACCATCTTCATTTATGTGAATAGCAGGCACTGGCGCCTGTTCTAATGTGAGTAGTGTTGTGAGTGTTGGTATTTGCCATTTGCATGAGTCAGTCTTTGCACACATGCATGTGCACACTGGCCCTCCACTCACATGGCCCAGTTGCAAATAGGCCATGGCCCAGTAATGGGCCATGGTCCACAGGTTGGGGATCTCTGATCTAGGATGAGATATATTTCTTTAATATCCCTGAAAATAGAGTGCTTTTGTTCATCCAGTGTCATAGTCCTCTAGTGAAATTTTATTGCTCTCTTCTAAAGCTGTTCATCATGCTAGGCAATAGGCAAGCAAACAAATTTTGGGCTGCACACCTCCCAGCTTCTGAAGCCTTGTATCCTGATTCTAACGCTGAGCAGAGACGAGATTTCATCATGTATAAATATTGCTATGGATACTTCCGCATGCCGCACCCTCAATATAACAGTCAAGAAAGCATTCTGCAGGTATGTATTTATGCATCTTTCTCCAACATCTGATGGAATTAGAAATTATTACAGAATAACACAATAACAGATTTGGAAGGAACCTTGAAGCTCTTTTTGTCCAACCTCCTGCTCAGGCAGGAGACCCTGTATCCGTGATGGCGAACCTATGGCCGTCTCTACGGGTATGCGAGCCATCACCCCAGCTCAGTTCTGCCGCATATGCACATGTGCTTCCCGCCAACCAGCTGATTTTGTGGTCTCTGCCACACATGCACAGAGGGGCATGTGGGAGATGTGCATGCATGCGTAGAGGTCGTGTACGCATGAGTGGGAGTGGAGCACATGTCAGGTGAGTCAGGTGATCTGAATTCTGAAATCCCACAAGATCTTGAGGTTTTCATTCTCTAGAACCTTCTCAACCTGATGGTCCCAGTGGTTTTTGCTGTACTC